ATTACTCCACGGTGCGCTCAACGCTCCTTAAGGAGCAAAGAGACGCGTTGCGTCTATATAGAGCAACGAGCTAGAGAACACAGAGTGACTGAAGCGCCTTTATCTTTGAAGCAAATTGAAGCCATGTTTTTTTGCTGTCGAAACACCGCCATCTGAGCAATTATTCAATACAATAATTTTTTGCTATTTCAATTTTATGAATAATAAATCAGTCAGTAGTAGAAAGCAGGATTAAGATAGAACTTGTTTGAAAAATTGTATATTTATCGTTTGATTACCTCTATTTTTAGTTATATGTCGAAGATACTGAAGGCTTTTAGAATATTATTATTCTAACCACTAATATAATTTAAGTACAGTTAACCGAAAAAAACAATAATATAAAAATAAAATCTTATACAAATAACACGACGATTCAGTATAACAACAGGTTTACATGGCACCACTAGCCACCATCCTTATGTTTTGACTTAAAAAACGTGGCGGCCCATAGTTCTGTTCTGAAACTATAGGGACAGCCACTCTATGTAGTATGTTCTATCTCGTTGATATAGAATCAACACATTTTTTAAAAAAATGTTAAGTATAGTGTACTACCAAATCATATAGTAATAACAAACATTGCAATACAGCCATAAACTAGTTTGTCATAACAATGCAATGAAGCCTGATATAGAGATATTTTTATTAGATAGATCCGGTTTGACAGCTAGTGCTGGCAACATAACTGATGGTTCTGTAATCATCCTGTTCTTCAGCCTATTTGAACCTCCTTCGTTCATTCGTTCGTTTGCAATTGGCTAACATGTAAACGGAATCGACGCTTCTTTTTGTAATGTCCTCGTCCGACGAAAATATAGTTCTTCACGAGAAATAATTGAAATTAGGAAGTGCGGTGCTGCAGTGCTCTTCTGTAAAAATCCTTTTTACATTCCTCTATACAGGTGAACCACCTGAGCGGTCCACAGTAAATATCTTGTAAACGGTTTGAGGTATCGAAATGCTGTTTGTACCACGTGGTTGCAGGTGATGAGGCAAATCATAAATTTCGTTTTCTTGTTAGCAACGTATGTAATTTTAGTAATATTGACACAACTTTGTTTTTTAAATGGAAGTATATATTTTTTCTTCCAGTACTGAAAAGTTCTTTAAAAATGCATTGCAATGATATACGTATTATACGTAGCTCACTCCAGATGCAAAAAGGTTTTGTTGATGAGTTTCTTGTTTAAAAAATGTCGGGAGATAGCGAAATGTAATATAAAATAATAGAAATATAAACATTGTGATTTTTCTTCATTAACGTGAGTGTTTGATTTTGTCTTGTGCTACACGGTCAAATAGGTTATGTTACTAGTCACCCGCGCACCTTAAAAACAGCCGTGATAGGGTTAGGGCGAAGAGACAGCGCCTCCACAAGAAGATTCGGGCGCCGCTCACGAGAGGGCGGTGAGAGCGCGCGCGCCGGAGCCGTATCGCTTCAGCAGGCGCAACCGAGCGCGTCGCCGGCCGGATGACAAGGCCAGTCAGCGAGCTCTCAGCCCAGGGGCGTATAAGGCGGCGCGCAGCGAGCGGTGGGGCAGTAGGCGCATTAGGCGCATTAGGCGCAGTAGGCGCATTAGGCGCAGTAGGCGCATTAGGCGCATTAGGCGCAGTAGGCGCAGTAGGCGCAGTAGGCGCAGTAGGCGCAGTAGGCGCAGTAGGCGGAGTAGGCGGAGTAGGCGCAGTAGGCGCAGTAGGCGCATTAGGCGCAGTAGGCGGAGTAGGCGCAGTAGGCGCATTAGGCGCAGTAGGCGGAGTAGGCGCAGTAGGCGCATTAGGTGCAGTAGGCGCAGTAGGCGCAGTAGGCGCCTTCCCGTTGAAGTGCGAGTACCAAGTGACTACGTGGTCGGGCTGAGTAACGGACTTTACCTCCTGGATTTGGGTAATAGTGACTACTGCTTTGTTAATTGTATATCTCCTCGGTTTATGGCAATTTTGGCAAGTCTTGGTAAATCTCGCGAATAATTGGTGCTTTAATAATAATTAATGCTTGTGAACGGTAATTTTGTTCTAATGGAAATTGTAAATAAACTTGTTTTACAAAAAGTACATGTTTTAGACATAGTTACACGTAGCGTATTTATATTTACAATTTTCAGTTGAATGCATGTTTCTTGTTAACATATTTTCGAGATCTGTTTATGCGAAATGAGATAAATTATTTTACGAATAGTTTCATTTGTTCGGTTCTTTTTAAGCAGTGGTTTTACCACATAAAAATAATTAATGTAAATTCCTAGCGATTTGTATGAGTGGTGCTCGAAAACGTGATTATTGTACTTTGAATGGTTACTGCATACTTCTAACTCTCGGACCACTCAGCCTGAGGTACACATTTATTGTACCTGTGTAATATTTGTACATAAAATAAATGAAATTTCCAAACTCATTCTTGGATGCTGCACGTATGGTCAAATGAAAAAACGTAAGGCAGAAATAAAAAGATTACATCTACATTGATGAAGCTGAGAATTTAATTTTTCTGTGTTATACAAGAATAACTTAGGGACTAGGTGGAATTTCAGTCATAGCACTATTGCAATTTATTACTTTTCTATTCTTGGAAAATATTAACTTAATTGTGATCCTTCAGCTAACCGGCGAAGATCCATCGGCTAACCAAATAACTGCAACAAAAATTAGTTTCGTTAATGAGTGGTTCCTTAAAACTGATAGATTTATTAGTGATTACGGGCGCGCCAACTGCTAAGTCTATTAGTCCCGTAAGTGTAGTGCAAGATTTCACCTCGAGAGGTCGCGGTGATCTTTTCCCGCTGGGGATATCCGCCGCCGACCTAAGTCGGCTTGCAGAGATTTTCCCCAACAAGGTATCTCCCACCAGCGTGGCACCGACCCAGCTGAACAAGCTCTCGGCTGGTCTCCAGACATTTGTAGTAGTGTAGAAAGCACGCAAAACTACTGATCAGTGCAGCTCACCTCCCGACTTTTCCTACAGGCACGAGTCGAACTGATCGAGCTCTGTAGCTAGCGTCTAAAATCCTGCCACCGTCTGGACCTGAACCCCAGGCCCTTCCGATGCAGTGACATCAGGTGATGCTCCGTGGCATCTTAGCCGGTCTTAAAATGAAGTACACGCGTCATTTGATGAGTTACAAATATTAACGATAACACTAAATTAGAAAGTATTTGGTAAATTATTGTAATGTGGACGTCATTAGTTAATATAAATGGCTAACTGTATTGAACAAAATATTTGGTAATCGAATAGTTCAATCAACATATCAGCTAAATCAAACATCTTTTTATATGACACTATTTAACCAACGCAGACATTTGCATAATTAAATTCGTGTAACAATACATGGCAATGGAAAAGTTCAGTGAAGAGAGGACTAAAGCGTTGAAGCATTTTGAATTCTGTAAAGATACATTGCGTAAAGCTGCAAAGATCCAGATTGTATCCAGATTGTATTCTGTAATGAGTTATTCGCATTTGTCGTTTATTGAAGTGGTGAGAGATTTTCGACATCAGCTACATAAGTATGCAGACTTCAGCCGTTGTCTGGAGGAGACTGCCGACTGCTGTGATGGGTAATTTATCCGATGTTTCACCGTTCAACACCCGGCGAATGCCGGAGCAGGTGCTTATCAAACGGGTCGCAAAGCGTGTGCGATTTTCCCTCCCTCTTTATGGTTCTATCCCAACCTCCTTACTTACACACCTACACTTTCATGCACTACACTACTACACCTGACGGTAGGCAAGTCGAGAGCTTACAGATTTTCTCGCCTGGGTGAGGGTTGCTCACTGGGGGAGATACATGCAGGGGAAAACCCGCAAGCAGACAAATATATCGGGCGCGGTTCTCAGCTTTCAGCGCAAGCTCATAACAAGAACTACACTTACTGGACTATCAAACTAGAGCTGACACCGAAAGAGAACTCAATATACTGCTTGCAATTATTATTTTAATATTTTTTAGAATAATGAAATTTTTTAAATAGAATACTTACGCCCTTAAAGAACTTCGCCGTGTTTGCGTTCCAACGGTCGAACAGTTCCTTGTTGATATCCACAGCCGTTTTGAGCTGAGCTGATGCGATGCTGCTCAGGTTGGTCGGGTTTTGAACAAATGCATTCCAGGAATCCTGAGAATTCTTGATGCTTAAATTGGTGGCATTTGAAAGGGCAGCCTGCAAAGCAATAACAGTAATTAGACTTTGCAAGGGCGGTTTTTAACGGTCCCCTCAACTCTTCGAAACTTCGGCAGCAAATCTTCTCATTCACTTACACGGGGGTTTATTCCTCAAGATTATTCTTACTTTATAATCTGTATATTTAAAACACTGAGGTTTTCGCTTAGAAAATAATTTGAATTTTTTTCAATCAAATTTCGTGATTTTTTAACTGAAAGGTAGTGGGCCTGAGATGTGTAATAGCTTACTATTTTCCGCCGATTTTGAAGTCAAGAAAACTAAATTTAAATAAAATTGTGAAATTTATGGAACGAACAGTATGTGTTGCCTTTTTGTTATTATTTTGTTTTGCGAGTTGCAATCAAATGTAGTTTCGTCATATGGCTTAAGCAAGTCTGAGGTTTTTAGTTATGATTACAGAGTCTGTGACTATGCAAACATGTGCATTACAACATAAAATTGATTTCTTTTCACGAAGAGGTCTACACTTTGCTAGCTTCAAGAACAATTAAAACACACAGAACTCAATGCATGGTTTAATTAAAACAAATCTATTGAAACCAAACGTACTTTCATTTATCCTGCAATACCGTTTAATTATGTTTGGGGTAAAAGCAATAAGGGTTGAAAGACACGGATGTTTAAAATTCATGGATTTACAAAACCACTGCTGTGGATTTCTTATTAATTACCGTGAACTTTTGGCGGGTTTTTAATAGTTCTTGTACACACTCTTAGTTTAAAATTGAAAGACATCCCCGTTTCATGTGGAAGACGTCCCCGCGTGCTTTCACGAAGCCTGAGTCGCTTGGTCGCTGACAGCTGGCGCCCGTGCAAGTTCAATGGCGTAGCTGCGCCTCGAAAAGAGCGTCTCAGCAGTAAAAGCCTATAGAACGGCAACGAATGCTA